GTCTTTGACTTTTATTTAGAAACATGATACACTAAGAGTTCGTTTGGTGACCGAACACGTAACTTCTGATTTTGAGCGTTGAAATACTGTATATTTATGTGTAATAATAGGAAAAAGTTAGGTTAGAGTTATATGTCTTAGCTTTCTTTATTTTGTTAATAAAAAATATTGCAAATAAATTTTTTCATAAATCAACAGAATCAGTCAATCTAGTCATTTCAACCATCACTTCATAATTTCCATCACAATTAACTGACTTAGTCATTATGTTTTGTCATTATCTCATCTAGAATAGAAATGATAAGCTAACATCTGAATGAGTTAGGGGATGGTTGAAAAATTACAACTTTTGTCTCACACTAACCTCGTTAAAATCCCCCCTTCTAGTAAAATATTTTGCTAATAATTTACCCACACGATGAATAAATGATTTTGTCAAGGACGTTTCTAGTTTCAAAGGTTTATGAAGGTAGTGTATTATAATGAATTGCATTTTCTAGACGGATTGCTTGTGTGAACCAGCAAAACAGGGGGTGTGCGTATATGTGAAAGTGTTGAAATATAATTTTGTGGAAAAATGTTGAAATATGTCCTTCAAATATTTCAAAGATATAAGTTGTGTCCCATTACAAAAAAAGTAATGGTGTCATTTAAATACATTTACTTTCAAAATACATTCAACCTAACCACCTTGACTTGTAATAGTTGTTTTAAAAAATCAAGTTAAGAAAATTGGTTTTTTATAAAAACGATTCTTCTGATTTTGAAATTAAGTAAGATTAAAGTTACATTTCTAAATGAATTGATTGAAATTACCGTAGAGGAAGGTTTTGGCTATTTTCATAGAGAAAATAATTTTTTCTTTGTTTTATTATCAAACAATATTTGAAATATGTTTTTATTTCAATTTTTTTTGGAACATTCTACTAAATAAACCTATTATAGTATATACTCTTGTTAATGTCAACATCCTTCTTTTGTTAATGTTAACATGCTTGATTGAGATGAGACTCGAACTACGACCTCCTCTTTGGGACTTGTATTGACTATTTTCATCTTTCAAATTCCAAATTGACAACTAACATGTTTTTCATTTCCTCGGTTCATAAAATCACAGTATAAAATTATTTAAAATGGTAAAAAAGCTTAATAATTCAAATATTTAATAAAAAATCAATTATAAAAACACACTGAATTCTAGAATTAAAGATTAAAAACATTTTGTCCCTTCTTCCCGAAAAAAAAAACATTTTCTCCCAGCACAATTATCACCATCGGCCGCCACACCTCTCCCGACTCTAATTTTCACCGTCCACCTCCATCAATTTTGAAGTTATACATCCTATTTTACATATTCAGCTCGAGGGAAATATTCTATCATAGCTCACCGATAATACTTGGACTCATCGTTAGCATTCGGTCATAAGCTACCCCTAGCACCGTTTTGTATCTTTCGTAAATGAGACGTCTATGAACAAAGCTAGTTCGGGAGATCCACTTTTTTTTTTTTGTATAAAATCGCCATTTTCATTTGTTGAAGGCAAGTCCAGATCTTAATAACCCGACCATAAGCTAAGCTACCCCTAGCGCCATTTTGATCATATCAGTACAATTAGTTAGTTATACTGGTTTAAGTTTAATATTTTTACGATAACTTTTCATTACATGCATGTCAAAGATATGGAAAATCTTAATAGACCAGCTGCCTAAGGTCCATTGCTGCCAATGTCCAAATTTTTAACTGAGTTAGATTAGCATTTTCTTCATTATAACAGTGACACATTTCGTTCGAGCTGTTAGATGAGATTGTTAATTAAGTTGTTTTAAAATGAAATTCGGCAGATCCGCTATGCATAAAAATTGTCCTTTTTAAAAGTCTTGTCAACTTGTGGGAACACCAGTGAAAATAATTCGGATTTTTTTATATAAATACTGAAACAGGAAGTCTAATTTTATTTTAACCGGTTAAATTTAAAAAATGAACGAAATTGTTATGAAATCTTTACTGTGAAGCAAAGTATGACCAAATGCTTTATTTTTCAAATCAATTTTAAACTGTGACTTTAATTAAAAAATTATATTTTCTGGAACTAATGAATTAAATACCATATACATGTCTTCGATGCGACTTAGTATATCACTTTTTTAAAGCATACACTGATACACTGCAATACTAAACATGTTCTTTAATTTGTTTTCCCTTCAAAGGGTTTTATTATTTTGTCCTCCAATAACCATATGGAAAGACTAACATGTACATGAGCTAAATGTAAGAGATAACATCATATAGATTCACCATTTTTTTTGGAGAAGATTCAAATAGCTTAAACATGCACTCTTGATTTGTTGATAAACTCGAGAATGAACTTACATGGGCTTTGATTCTTGAGTTGAAAATTAAATTACACGATAAACTCTCGATTTTATCCTCCAATAACGATAAAGAAAGACTAAGGATGTTTTTACTTGGACTGTAATTTGCTAGTCTGGTCTGATCTGGTCTGGTTTGAACTGGTCTGGTCTGGTCTGGTCTGGTAAGGTCTGGTTTCTTTGTATTTTTATAACTATTCAAGTCTGGTCTGGTCTGGTCTGGTCTGGACTGGTCTGGTCTGGGACAAATTACAGTCCAAGTAATAACATCCTAACATGTACATGAGCTAAATGTAAATGATACCAAACATATCGATTCACCATATTTGCATGCTTAAGCTTGCACTCTTGATTTGTTCGTTGATAAACTCAGAGAACTTCCATGGGCTTGTTTTGAGAGAACACATTGCAACGGTTGATTTATACTTTTATTGTGAAGACTTTACTGTAACATCAAGTGCTGGCCAGTTGGGTTTGATACACCTCAATACATTGTCAGAGAAATTATTTCCAAATCTTTCTCCATAAATGAATCGAGTATTATATCGAGCTAGTATTTGGTGTGTTTGGGAGTTCAGTTTGGGAACTTAGGGTGTGTTTGGGAGAAAAGTGAGTCCTGAAACCCTCTAAATGCTCAATGGGATACCTTTCACGACTTACTCAGGGTGTGTTTGGGAGCAAACTTGCGATGTAATAATATACTAGTAATATACCTTTCAAAAAAAAGTTATCCACTATTTTTAGTAAAAGTAATATACTAGTAGAACACTCTTGCGATGTACGATTGATGAAATTTCACGGGTGTAATTAATTTTAGTCGAATTTGAAATAAAAAAACGTTTAATTTTAATTGAATCATTTAGCTAGAATTGTACTACATACAATAATGAAGTTTGACGTAAAATGAAATATACAGAGTATTAAATTTAATTTAACAATGATAATTATAGAGCAGCACACAAATTTTTATAGTTTTACAAAATAGTAACTAGCACGCTGCATAACTACATTTTGAAAGTACATTACATTCATGCTGAATGGTATAAACACTCCTTTATCTACAACATTCTCAATTTCAAAGTTCGTTCTCTATCATCGTTTGCAATTTGTTACTTTTGACTCAATCAAGTAAAGTTACGACGATGACTAAAAACAGGGGTTTCCAACAACAAACCAACACGCGACGATTGTCATTGACTTTTATTTACAATCATGACATAATAAGTCATTTTTGGGTGTTAACCGTATTATCACATTCGGGATTCAAATGACAAGTTAACATATGAAGGTGTTAATCACAATTAGTTTATGTATCATTTCTAGCATTCTTCTATTCTCTCTCTAGGCGAGAGCTTCTCTCTTTAGGCGGCCGTTTCCCCTAGGGTTAAGGGTTGTTTTTCCGCTTTCGTCTTCGCCTTTTGTAAGACTCTCTTCTTCGGCTGACCGCATCGCTTGTATGGCCGGCCAAATGTTGTGTACCCCTAGTAGCAGGTGAAGAGTTGCGAGGATGTCGTTCATCGTTGAGATCAGAAGGTCATGAACGAAGCGTGAGGCTAGAGGCTGGAACATATCTGGACCGGAGGCAAAGAGCGGAAGATGCTACAATACTGTTGGGCCGTCTCTCTCCTGAACCGCCACCAAGTGTGCAGAAGAGTTTAAGGTTTGGAAGTTGTGTTTTAATTTTACTGTTTGCTTGTTATTTATTTTTCATGATCAAACTGTTTATTTTTCTATTTGTTACTTTTATTGTTGTAAGACTCCTGCAGTAAGATTGAGTGATAGGAAGTATGTTTTATTCGTCGTAGGCTCATTTATGCCCATTATAGGATCAACAAGTTATATTACTTTTTTGAAGGTGATTAACTCTAAGTCTGTTTCAAAAGTTGGACGATTGCATATGGTCCTTTTATCGTTTTACCTCTATCTGAACACTGTGATTTGAATTTAAATCATCGTTTTGATGATAAAAAACACAATTAGTTTCTAAAAAACACAATTGGTTGAAATATTTAAGTAATTATTATTTTCCATTATTTCATATGTAATGTTCCCGATAGTGCAAGCATGTTTACATGGGTTACATGCTTTGCATGGCCCATGGAGATGTCTCTCTCCCTTCCTTCACACTCATGCATGCAATATACGATAGTATATATGTACCATACGTATGCTATGGAATAAGTAAGTGAGTTATTTTTCCTCAATTTTAACACAATTAGTTTCTAAAACACAATTACTTTGAATGGCTCTTCTCTTTTATATGTAATCTTCAATTTTAACACAATTAGTTTGTAAAACACAATTACTGCGATCTGAATACGATGAAGAAAAAATTTGAGCCACTTATTCTAAGGGGAGTATTTTAATCACGTTATAATATCTGGAAATAATTGCATGAATATGATTAGAATAAAGATGATTTACAAAAATATGATTAGTTATTAGATTAGTAATGAAATCATAGTAATTAATATTCAAGTTTTGAACTTAAGTTACTACACCACCACCTTGTAGTAATGAATAGTTATATTTATGTAAATATTTTTTTATTTTAATAATATTCTTGTAAAAAATCGCTGTTTTGTCCGGTATATACGTATTTCACTACCTCGTTATACCTCGTTATACGTATTTCTCCATAATCTGCCGTTTATTGAAAACAGAAGAACGCGCGAAAGGCCAATCGCGTTTGTAGGGTGATTCTTCAAATGGGAAATCCACAATATCTGGACTCTTTTGTTGTCCTCCAAGGTTTCAATTTTTGGTTTTTGGAATTACCCAAAATACCGGAGAAGATACGGATTCCTCCTGCCCCCAATTCGAATTCTTTCCCACTCCCACATTTCCGAAACAATCTGATTATTTTCCCGGAATTTCTTGATTTTTTCCCTTGCAATGTGACTTGTGCTTAAGGGGATTCGATCCCAGATTTCTGCATTCGAGGATCTGGGTAATGCTCTTCTTCGTGGTCGGGATCGTTATATTGAGGTATGCTGAACATTACAATTCCAAATCTTATTTACCCGTTTTCTTTCTTCAAAATTAAGGATTTTTACATATTGTAACTTGACATCCCTTTTGGGTTGAAGGTTTTTGATGGAAAGAAATTCCAATGAATGAGGGACACATGCCTAAGGCAATGGGGTTGGGGAAGATTAGGTTAGGTCTCAGGACGGGGATTATGGGCTGCATTTGCTCTAAGGGAGCTTTAATTAAGAAACTAACGAAGAAGCACACTAAAGGGAAGGATAAAGAAGCAAGGAAAAGGTCACCATTTCGGGATACTTGTAAACATAATGATGTATCAGTGGAGCTTGAGAACGGCACTCAGGAGGCAACTCTACTACTTATTTCTCCCGAAACTGCTGCGGGTTCCACACCATCAGACAAGGGGGACAAGAAGCGTGCGGTGCCGAAGATTAAAAAGCATCACACAATGAATGGGGTTGGGGGTGGGGTGCAACCTCAGATAAGCAGAGTGTTCAGTGTGAGGGATGGAATTGACGGAGCACAAATTGTTGCAGGGTGGCCATCTTGGCTTACTGCAGTGGCTGGGGAAGCTATCAAAGGATGGGTTCCTCGAAAGGCAGATTCATTTGAGAAGTTAGACAAGGTCTGCTCGAGTTCGAAACACCACTTTTCTATCAATTGTGTAATCTTATGCTCTGTTTGCTAGCTAGTGGCTTATTCTGCTTTTTGTGCTGATAAATAGTTATTCACGTCATGAAATGTATGTTACCCAAAGCTTTTCCTTTCAGGAAACAACTGCTATTTCAGCCAAACAAGTTTTACCAAATGTGCTCTCCTACAGTTGCATCTACATTGCTCATTTGATATTTTATTATCACTTTCCTATCAAATTTCCGCTCTTAGGCTCTGTTTGGTAGTCATTTTTTGGTGAAGAATAAGCTGGATTATGAGCATAAGTAATTGTTGACTTGTTTACTTAGCTAAAATGGATGTTGCCAAACACCTTTCCTTTCAGAGAGTTCAGTAGATTACATCTCAACCAAATAATCCTTGAACATTTTTCTTTTCATAACATTTTCGGAATATTATGTAAGGATGATTCGGCTGAACTGCCTCTGAAAAGGAAAATGTTTGGTAAAATTGATTTTGGCCTAATTAGTAAGTTAAGAAGTATCCGTTCTTGCTTTCCCTGCTTATACTGCAATAACCATGAAAATATAAAGAAGTCAATTAGATTACAATGCTGCGAAATGAGACATTTTTTTTGCTTTTGATAATTTTCTTGGCCCCTTTTCCATGAAATGATGCAGATCGGTGAAGGGACATATAGTAGTGTGTACAGAGCTCTTGACCTTGAAACCGGACATATAGTTGCCTTAAAGAAAGTGCGGTTTGTAAACATGGACCCAGAGAGTGTTCGGTTTATGGCAAGGGAAATTCTCATTCTCCGTAGGCTTGATCACCCAAATGTTATGAAGCTGGAAGGTCTTGTGACATCTAGGGTTTCATGCCAGATATATCTTGTGTTTGAATATATGGAGCATGACCTTGGTGGTCTTAGAGCATCACCCGATATAAAATTCGATGAATCACAGGTGCATACTGTTATATAATCTCGAGCTACCCCCAAACCCTAAGGGCTTGTATGATTGGGGGATTTCTGTCATTCTGTTTACTAATTTATCTTGACTTGTTAGTTGTTACTTGTTAGATTAGAAAATTCTCCTTAACTCCATTTTTAGTTAAACCATGTATGTTTTATATACTCCGTAATAGTTTATCCTCACTCTCATTCTAAATATCTTTCCTAATGCAAGAATAAATTAATGTACATCACTCCTCTATACTTCCATTCACAATCCCCTAACAAAATAATGACCAAAGGTCTATTTGGAACCAGAAAGATACAAGGGAAAGAAGGTATTAGGAAAACAAAAAAGCAAATTGCTAGGAGGCCAAATGTGGCAGTGTAAAAGATAGACTAGCACTTTTTTTTTTTTTCAAACTCATAGTATTTATTTCTTTGTTTGTTTCTATTATTTAACGATTACAAAACATTTTTATTTATTTTAAAAGTAATCATACTTCATATTCCTTAACGGTAAAATCAAACATAATAAAATATCTTTCTTTGGCATTTCTGCATTCCATAGCATTTTATGCTATCTTTTTCTGTTCTAATAAAAATAAATTAGTGCTACACTTGTATTCAGTCTTTATGTCACACCTTCTAACTTCTGATTTTGAATGATGTTAGCAGATTAAATGCTACATGAAACAACTCCTTTGTGGACTTGAACACTGCCATGGTCGCGGAGTTTTGCACCGTGACATCAAGGGCTCTAATCTTTTGGTTGACAATAATGGGAATCTCAAGATAGGTGACTTTGGACTTGCAACATTTTTCCGTACCAACCAAACACAGCCGCTAACGAGTCGTGTAGTCACGTTGTGGTATCGGCCTCCAGAGCTTTTGCTTGGTGCCACTGATTATGGAGTAGCTGTGGATTTGTGGAGCACTGGTTGCATCCTTGCTGAACTGTACACCGGAAAACCTATCATGCCTGGAAGGACCGAGGTACTTTCCGATATTGTTGGTTTTTTTGTTATGTTTGACCTAACTCGACTTAAATGGATACTCGAGAGGTAGGGTTTACATTTACTTTACTACAGTTATATACCAGACTCAAACGTTGTAGACAACCAACCAATATGATATTCAAATTAACCCTCAGCCCAAGAGGCAAGAACCAAAGGGGTGGACAGATGGGCTCAAACCAACTTCAAATGGGCTTCCTTAAACCATCAACTGAGCTGGCACAGTGGCACCTCAAGAGCATCTTCAGATCATATTCGAATACCATATTATATTGAATCTAATTTACCCTAAAAGGATCCTCAAGAAGTGATATTAGCTCACACTTATATACCAGATTCATACCCAGTAGACAATAGTTTGGTGAGATGCTCACCAGTTTTGGTCAATGGCATACTCAATGAAACACCATTCTAACTCCCCATGCAGGTTGAACAGCTTCACAAAATCTTTAAGCTTTGTGGCTCACCATCTGATCAATACTGGAAGAATTCAAAATTGCAGAATGCAACAATTTTTAAACCTCAGCAGCCATATGAACGCCGTATTGCTGAGACCTTCAAGGAGCTGTCTCCTTCAGCTTTATCAATTCTGGATTGTCTTCTAGCTTTAGAACCTGAGCGCCGGGGAACTGCAAAATCTGCGCTTCAAAGTGAGGTAATCAAGCTATATAGTCTAATATAATTGCTTGTTCATGTGTTTAAAGTATGATGATTTCCATGTTTCTTCATTGGTTTGTTTTATGTAATCAGTTCTTCACAACAATGCCTCTTCCATGTGATCCATCATCATTGCCCAAGTACCCACCATGTAAGGAATTTGATGCCAAGGTGCGGGAACAGGCACTTAGAAGGTATGCTTGTCCTGATTTTTATATCTAATCAATTCTTTTTTTATCATACTGATATTAAACTCTAAATAGAGATAATATCCATATTTATGACGATGAGGATCATTATTCATTTTGAAATAGTATGCCATGTGTATTACTCCGTCCGTCTACAAAAAGACATCTATGAGCAAAACTGGTGTCAGTATACAAATATGATTATTTATTTGGGAAGGAGGCAGTATATTAACATGTTTCAATATTTTATGCATATCGTTTATTGTAATACCTCATGACCTTAGCAGATTTGCAGTTGAACTAGACACTTCATTATATTCCGAAAATTTGTATTTTATAAATCATTTCTAAAATGAGACACATTTATAATGATGCCAGGCAAACCGGTGGTGGGAGTAAAGATCCTGAAGCTGTTCCGGCACCTAGTGATCTCACCAAGTTGCAAACAGCTTTAAAGGTATATTTTTGTTTTATAATATTACTAATTGACATTGCATATTCCTATATTAGGAAATTACTCAAAATTCATTCACCACCCTTATTATGTAGGTTTTAAGGTTGAGACTCCTACTACAATTCTTAAATAGTGTTCAGTTTATGTAAAACTTAAATTTAAAATGATATCAATGCCTTGTTATTTTCCACTCTATGTCGATGTCCAGCCCGACTAGTGTGAAGTATCTCATATCAGAAATTACCACATTTCACTCACCATATAAAGAGTTGGACACACTTTATGTTGTTGGCCTATGTAATATTCAAATTCCAGGAAATTTTCACTTTATTCAAGTTATGAGTGTGAAGTGTTGTTTATTTGCTTTGAATGGGATAGAAATGGCAAGGACAGTTAAACTTCAAGAAACGTGGAGGTGGGTTGACTGAGGTTGATTCTTCAAGACGTGGAGGAGGTTCGGTGCTAAGAAGGTCTGCATCCTTCAGAGCCCGGGGGTCAACAGCCCAGATATCAATGTTCTGTAATTCTGCAGCTCCCAATGGCAGCGCGAGTTTGGATTTCAATAGGGACTCAAGTGTCCATTCAAACTGGCACAGGCTTGCTTCAAAATATAATCGAATAACAGACGCCATGTCTGTTCATCTGGGGAGATCAAATCACTCCCAGAAGGAAGAGCAACCGACTAGGAAGGATTCTATGATGGTAAATCATCTAATTTTACTTTTCAAAATCAGGGGGATCAAATGACTCCCATTTTGATATTTGAGAACTAAATGTGCTTGTTAGATGTTACACAAAGCACAAATCTGGCTGTTTCTTAAATAAACACTATGTTTTTTGTTTGGTTATGGATTTGATAGATAAGACATAAATGGGTGTGAAATAGAGGGAGAAGTACGATGATAGGACAGAAATGTAGAAGTAATGAATAGAGACGGAGATTAGTATCTCTCCAAATGCCCTTTCATAAGGTAACACAAAAACGGGAGGTGGGACCCACTGTTTCACTTCTCTACTCATCATTTATCCCCTATTTCATTCCCCTCTATTTTGGGGGAGAACAGAAGGGATACATTAGAATTAGTAGAGGTATATGAGTATATCATTTGTGGTAGATTTTGTGTATTACGTAGTGTTTGGTAGGAGAGAAATGTAGAAGAAATGGGTAGAGGGAGGAGATTCATTTTTCTCCTATTTCCTTCCGTATGGGAAAGCAAATAAAAAGGAGGTGGGACTCACTATTTCACTCCCCCACTCTCCATTTCGCCCTATTTCTTTCCACTCTATTTCTTCGGAGTACAGAAATGGGTGAGAAAGAGAGGGATAAGTAAGATTTAGTAGAGGAATAGGGTAGTTTTTGTGTATTTGTAGAGGAAGAGGGTTGGAGAAAGATGTCAAGAATTTAATAGAGAGGATCAATTCTGTCTTATTCTATTTCCATAAGAGAGAAGAAGAAATAAAGAGGAGGCAGTACCCACTATTTCATTCTCTCCTATTTCTTTCTCTGATTTTACCATAACCAAACAAAGGTGAGAAGTGTTACTTTAACTAGTGAAGTAAATCCTTTTCTTCCTCTTAAAAGTACATATTCGTTGTAAATAAGTCATCCCAGATGCACTATGTTCCCCCCTTTTCCCGCCTAGATCTATCCTGTCCCATTTGACCTTGATTAAAAATTTAAAACCAATGCCTCTCACTATTTACACCATTGGTGTACTTAATTGCTCATCATTTTTTGGGTTTAAAATACATTCTCTACAGGGCTATGTACCGAAGAATGGAAACATACACTACTCTGGGCCTTTGATTCCAGCAGGGGGGAACATAGACGAAATGCTGAAGGAGCACGAGAAGCAGATCCAAAATGCTGTACGCAAAGCCCGTCTCGACAAAACCAGCAAGGGCCAAAAAGTTTACAGTGACTATGGACACTCGGAATCCCTCTTGCAGTATGGGGGCAATGGACGGTAACTATCAATGTAACTTTCAGAAAGAGAACAAAGTGCAGCAATGTACAAAAAAGGATGAATAAAGATGACACGTTTTATTACCAGCTTGTACAAAAGTAATTTTGTACATCATATTTTTGTTGCACACAATATTCTTGTTCAATTTTTACATGGTCAATCCTTCTCTGTATGTAAAAAGCTACTCCATATTAAAAAGGGGGGTTATCATTCTTGCAATTGTATAGGAAGTTGATACTGTTTGATGTATTCTTAGAGCCAGCCAGATTCAGATAGTATTTTTATATTTCAGGGTAAATGGTTCTTGGAGATTTTCCTCATTCAAATCTGGTATATATGAAAATGTTGTACATTCTTGAATGTATATATTTGCAATACTATGTTTTAAGGTCTCGTGGGAATCTAGGGTATATGTAGCAGCTAAACAGATTTTCCTACTTTGAGCCGTTTGAGGTATATGAATTGATGATGATTTAGTTGTTTGATGTATAATAATTACTTAATTAGGATTTTTTTGGTGAAATTCTCATTCCTACTACGTATATTTTTGTGGTTGTTTGAAGCATGCGACAAAGCGAAGCAATGTACTTTAAAAAGTTACAGATGAGTCAAATGTAGTATCAATTATGATGTGATATGTACTTAAGATGACTTTGAAATCAAGACTCAAATTGATGATAAGATTGAAGTTGTTTTTGTATCATATCAACATGACAACATGGGTCCGGCACTCCGGCCTACAAAAATGAAATACGAAGTATTAAAAGCACATTTGGTAAGAGTTACTTTCTCCCTCCCACATTTCTAGTCTAAAATGGTTTACCATATTTGACTCAACATAATCTTAATTATTTCATTTCAACTCTTTTTTTTTTAATATGATACAACATTACAACCAGGGGCGGAGTCAAGGGGGGTCAGGGTGGTCAGCCGACCCCGCTGAAAATTTGAGAGTATAGAGCTCTGAAATATCTTCGATTTGATAAAGTTATGACTTCTGCAAAATTAGCACTATCTAAACGTAAAATTAGCAAAATTTGATGCATATTATAGATTATTTTTCCAAATTTTAAAATTAGGGTATAATTCACTCAATACTTGCATGATTTGACTCAGAAATAGAGCAAAGTCAATCTATCTTTTTGCTACGAGTGTCTATTTATCTAAATTACATATGAAATATTCAAATTAGTCATTGTTTAAAAACGATCTAACACTTTCATTATGTATATATGTTGAGTTTTGACCCCCTGAGCCATTTTTCTGGCTCCGCCCCCCGATTACAACTATAGAAGTAAAACTGAATCGGAAAGGAAAAAAGTATTTAGCTGGAATGATTAAGGGTGTGTTTGCGATTGCTTGTGCTTTTTTAAAGTGATTTTTTTAAGAGATTATTGAAAAAGTGATTTATGGTAAAAGTAGGTAGTGTTTGGGAATAGAAGTGATTTTAATTAAAATGTAAAAGTTGGAGTGTTTGATAAAAAAGTGATTTTTGATGGAATGTTTTATAAAAGTACGAATATGCCCTTTTGGATATTCCCTTTTCAGAATCACGTGTGCTAAAAGTCGGACCCTAATTTTTTTCAACAACCCTAATTGCAGCTCGTCGGAGTTATAGGGACTACCGGACTAGGATAAACACTTGCGCCTGGATTAATCAGTGGTGGTTCCATTCTTCCCGTTTTCATTATATACATGTGTAAATTGTTTGGAGTGTAATCTACAACCAAAAGAGGAGAGAGCTTCTGATTGTAATAAGAGGAGAGAGCTTCTCGAGTGTAAAATCATGGAGTTCCCAGCTTGTTTCTTCAACGGTGTGTATATACGGATACAGTTTACACTAAAAGAGAAGAGAGCTTTGATTGTGGTCTAAAATGGCAGAGCAGGGTCCCAGACTTGCGGCAACAGAAGGGGTATATTGGGTTTGGTAGAAAATCTTAGCCATTATAGTCATCCTTGAATTTCATTTTAATTACAAAAATACCTAAAAGCAGTTAGAAGCTAGCCTATACCAACTTCCAGCTTTTGACTTTAAAGTGCTTCTTTTAATCAAAAGTTGGGATTACCAAACACATCTTTTAGCTTTTTTTAATCTAAAAGCCAAAAAGCACTTAATTTAAGCAATGGCAAACACACCTTAAATTTGCTTACTTTTTGAAAAGAAATCCTTTGGTGAAGTTCATCGCACTTCAATATGAATAAACCATAGGAATAAACACATCCAAAATACGCCAAAGACTTTTTCCTCCTTCAATGTACGTATTCTTTATTATGAAAATGTATATTACCATTAGTTCATCTCCAAGGGAGGGGTGAGTAGGGCTCTATGATAGGTGCACCTTTTTTTAGTCCTTTTTAATCAAAACACACCAAATTTCAAGATAATTAAGATTAGTTAGCACAAGGCCATCAGTTCATTATAACCTTCCTTTGAAAATCTCTGTTACCAACTATACATCTTTACAAACAAGCAAGCATACAATAGTGGCAATGCTTTTGCTTCATGCAACTCTTTCTGGTTTATCTATTGTATTCTTCATCATAACACCTCAAAATCTATATATCTTTAACCCTAACTCTTCCCATGCACAAACCCATATTTTGCTTTTAAATAAATTTCTTCATCATAATTCTTGAAAATAATCAAGTCGAAAGCAATGAGACACAGAACACAATTCTCACCCAATTGGAGAGTCATCCTCATTTTCATTTTTGTATCTTTCTTCATTCTTTTGATAACAAAATCATTCATTGTATCATCTCCATCCTCATCTTCTTCATTCCACCCAAGACTCTCACCTTCAAACCTGAGAGAGAAATGCTCCCTACAAAGCTGCAACAAACTCCCAACATCAGTTGCTAAATCTCTCATCCATTACTCCACCTCAAGCATAATACCCCAACAAACCATCAGAGAAATATCAGTCACGTCGAAAATCTTAGACAAGAAGTCCCCTAGCAACTTCTTAGTTTTCGGCCTCGGACATGATAGCCTAATGTGGCACACGCTAAACTATGGGGGCAAAACCGTCTTTCTTGAAGAGGATGAAGCTTGGATACAACAAATCAAGAGGAGGTTTCCAATGTTGGAATCTTTTCATGTTAGTTATGATAGTAAGGTCAACCAGGCAAGTCAACTAATAGAAGTTGGCAAAGGACCGGAGTGTACATCAATCTCGGATCCTAGGTATAAGAGCATAGTATATATTACTCTATACTCAATCGGTGTGTGACAAATAATTTAACATGTCACTCGGCCCAAACCGGACTGGACAATTACATTAGATATATGCACCAACCATTCAACCAGGCCCTAAACAGGTTACCATAATTCATGGGTAAGAAGCATATAATTAGAGCATAACGGAACCAGACTCCGGTACCATATTTAAGAAAGAATTATTACTATTATTAATTAGTTTATTAATTTATACCAACCCGGCATAGGATAAAAATACTAACACTTATACTATTAAGACTTGAGATTTCAACACGAGAAGATCTCAATGTGTACTTAATCATTAATCAAGGTAGGATAGTTTATCTTTTAACATATTAACAGGTATTCAATGTGTCAACTGGCATTAAAAGGACTGCCCAGTGTAGTGTATGAGGTTCAATGGGACTTGATCATGGTGGACGCGCCAACCGGGTACCATGAGGAGGCACCCGGGAGGATGGCAGCGATTTACACGGCAGGAATGATGGCCCGGAACCGAGAAGATGGAGGTGAGACAGAGGTTTTTGTCCATGATGTGAATAGGGTGGTGGAAGATCAGTTCTCCAATGCATTCTTGTGTGAAGGTTATATGAAGAAACAAGAGGGGCGTCTCAGACATTTCACCATTCCAAGCTATAGGACTAATTTGAAAATGCCATTTTGTCCCTAGTCAATATTTCATCATTGTTCTCATTAAGGCATACTTACTCTTAATCGACCATACTAGTTTTTATTCATTTATTTTCTTTGGCATTCTTTAAAACTATTGAATTTGGCATCTGTGTTTAATAATTACGTAATATTAATTGGTATGTAACTTACAGTCTTACACACACACTTCGTTTAGAAATACTAGATACGTGTTTCAAAAGTTTAATTTAAAATTGAAATGACTTTGGTTCTAGCAAGTTGTATGTGTACGACGAATAAAATAGGCGTAAGAATATGTAGTACATCGTATATTGTGAATCAGATGGATATGGAAATGATAAAACAGGAATTCAGACACTGGATCATACATTATATTCATACACGCATACATGAGGAAGAAGAAGATTGGAAATGAACTCATTCAGAAGGTTTTCATTACAGAGAGAAATGATAAACATGGTTCTAGTATAGAAGTTCAGAGTATTTATATGTACATGATTTACTCTTATTGAGCTTACAATGTAACGAACTACTAACTAACTATAGGTACTCGAATTTTCATAAAAAAATCAATTAAGTCCTTCTATAGGAGACTCTGTCCGGCCGTCGTGATTTGGGGCGGTTCCTGGTGGAATTTTTTGATGAAATTTTTTGAGCATCATATTCATCAAGTCTAGTTTACTCATACCAAATTTCAGCTAAAAATTCAATTGGGAACGTATTCAAATTAATTCGAGAACGCAAAAATGCGCAGTTATCTTCACGAATTCATTTGAATGTCCCGATTGAATTTTTAGCTGACATTTGGTATGAGTAAACTAGACCTGATAAATAAGATGCTCAAACAATTTCATCAAAAAAATCCACCGGGAACCGCCCCAAATCGCGACGGCCGGACAGAACCTCCTATAAAAGGACTTAATTGACCTTTTTATGAAAGTTCGAGGACCTATTTGACAGTTTTTCCTTTATTTAACAATACTAACACCCCCCTCAAGCTGGGGTTAGAAGAAGTCAAACCCAGCTTGGTTAGTAATTGTCTGAACTATGGAGAAGGCAAAATCTTTGTAAATACGTCTGCTAGTTGATTATGAGTGGGCAGATATGTCAGCTGAATTAAACCTTCTACCAACTTCTCTCTTGTAAAATGACAATCAATGTCAATGTGTTTTGTTCTTTCATGAAAAAATGGATTCTTAGCAATCTGGATTGCTGACTGATTATCACATTGAATTGTAACAGGCTTCAAAGATGAGACATTTAATTCTTCAAACAGTCTCACTAACCAAGTAACCTCTGATGTGACTTGCTGCGTTGCTCTATATTAAGCTTCAGCAGTTGGTATACCGTGGGATCATCCCACGGTGAGCAATGTGCTCCATCCCAAAACCGACGCAGTTTTACACTTTTTTTTAAAAAAAAATCGCGTGAACAGTAACGCGTGAACAATAACTATTCTTTCTTCTCTTTCTATCCCAGGAGCATGAATGATGTAACTCGCATATAAAACAATGTAACTCACGTTATTAATCTATGTAACTCAAGTCTAGTCAAAATGTAACTTGTCAAATACATAGTATAAAAAGTAAAACATTGATTTCAATGTAAATAATGAAAAACAAAGTCTATTTGTCCAAATATTTTACATAAATGATGTATATGTTTTTTTTAATATCTGGACTATAAAAATGATTTGTTTATAAATTTTTTTTGAATATTTGGGGCTTATTGTGTCGTGTAACTTGCATTATATTGCGGTGTAACTCGTATTATATAAAATGTAAATCACGTGCAAGTAGGATGTAACTTGCTGAAGAAAGTTGACATTCAACTCACGCTAATAAACATGTAACTTTAGGCAAATCCTGATGTAACTACGTGTATTTTCAAATGTAATTTGCGCCAAATCAAAATATAAATTGTCTAAACTCTAATATATATATATATATATATATATATATATATATACACACACACACACAAAGATTTCTAATCAACTCCATGTTTCTCATGATTGGCCAACAAAAACAGCCATCACCGTCTCACTCATATGTAACCTGAAGCTTCTTCGTCTTTAATACTTGTGGATAATCCACTAATTTCAATCGTGGATGGAACAACCAGGTCGTGGAGATCAGTAGATGGAACAGAGATGGAATTTTGCTTGTGTTCGTCTGAGCTCGTACAAGCCAGGTCGCACAAACCAAAACAAGGTTTGTGTTGGCCGGTTTAATTTGGTGCTCGCTGGTTGCGGCCTGCGTGCAAGCCTCTGTCACTAACGCATATACTCCGTATGTTTTTTTTTAATTAAACGACGCCGTTTAGGGATCGTACACCATGCACATGGTGTGCCGATCCCACGGTATAATTTGCGAGCTTCAGAGGATGATTTTGCAATTGTGGATTGTTTCTTTGACTTCCAACTTATTGGAGATCATCTCAAAAGAATCAAGTAACCTGTGACTGATCTTCTTGAAAATGGACATGTAGCCCAATCGAAATCTGAATAAGCTTGTAAAATGAGATTATAACCATTTAATTGTAACACATCGGCCCCGCAGGGTCGGAGGTAGTTACTCCAGACCTCACAAACTACCACGAGCCTTTACCGCGCACTTTGTCCTCACTCATGCGCGCCCTGAAAAACTTCCCAGGGGTCACCCATCCCAAGACTACTCTCATCCCAAGACTACTCCCGTGCAAGCACACTTAACTTTGGAGTTCTTGGATGATGAGTTCCCTTAAAAGGAGATGCACCTCTCTTGGTATGAGTAGTACTATTAATCCTCTTAAATTAATCTCGGGAAATACAATCACCCCCACTTAGGATCGCAACATCCTCGTTGCGCCCTTAAACCAATCTCAATCAAACCCCAGAATCTTTTCCCCTGCTAAGCACGCTTAACTTTGGAGTTCTTGGATGGTGAGCTCTCTTAAAAGGAGATGCACCTATGTTGGTATGAGTGGTACTATTAATCCTCTTAAATTAATCTCGGGTAATACAATCACCCCCACTTAGGATCGCAACATCCTCGTTGCGCCCTTAAACCAATCTCAATCAAACCCCAGAATCTTTTCCCCTGCTAAGCACGCTTAACTTTGGAGTTCTTGGATGATGAGTTCCCTTAAAAGGAGATGCACCTATGTTGGTATGAGTGGTACTATTAATCCTCTTAACTTAATCTCGGGTATTACAATCACCCCCACTTAGGATCGCAACATCCTCGTTGCGTCCTTAAACCAATCTCAATCAAACCCCAGAATCTTTTCCCCTGCTAAGTGTCTCCCCGATATCCAACGGATCAACACACTTTCGCAGGGTTGCTTTGATACCATTTGTAACACCCCGACCCCGCAGGGTCGGAGGTAGTTACTCCAAACCTCTAGTACTGTCCTCACAAACCACCACGAGCCTTTACCGCGCACTTTGTGCTCACTCATGCGCGCCCTGAGAACTTCCCAGTGGGTCACCCATCCCAAGACTACTCCCTTGCAAGCACGCTTAACTTTGGAGTTCTTGGATGATGAGCTCCCTTAAAAGGAGATGCACCTCTGTTGGTATGAGTAGTACTATTAATCCTCTTAAATTAATCTCGGGTATTACATTAATAAGATGCCTTGTCCTGGTGTGCATGCTAAGTACTGTAAAACATGTTGTAATGCATCAAAATTAGGTACTTTTAGATTCTGCATGAATTGACTAAATGTTTGAGTGGCAAAAGCAATGTCAGGCCTGGTGTGTCCTAGAAAATTCAATTTACCCACCAAAGTTCTATATAAAGAAGAGTCTTCAAATACAGGCTCATCTTCAATAGATAACTTGCAATTTAAAGGCAAAGGTGTTGTGACTTTCTTTTCTGGAACAGGAAACTCTTGTAATAATTCTCTGGTGAACTTGTTTTGAGTAAGAATGATACCATCAGCTGTAGTGGAGGCTTCCATGCCTAGGAAAAAATGCAGATGTCCCAAATCCTTTATGGTAAAGGTCTTATCTAAGAAAGATCTTATTGCCATAATTTCATCATTATCTAAACCAGTCAATAGGATGTCATCAACATAGACAGCAAGAATAGTTAACCCTTTCTCAGTTTTCTTTAGAAATAAAGATGGATCATTTACTGATTGAGTGTAAGATTGGGCCTTGAGAGATGATGCTAACTTGTTAAACCATTATCTAGAAGCCTGTTTCAAGCCATATAACGATTTCTTCAGTTTGCAGACTTTGTTTTCTCAATTGGGAACACCTAGTGGGACTTTCATGTATACATCTTCATTTAAATCCCCGTGAAGGAATGCATTGTTCACATCAAGTTGATAAACATTCCATTTTCTTGCTGCAGTAATTGCTAAAACAGATCTGATGGTTGTCATTTTAACAACTGGTGAAAAGGTTTCTTCATAGTCTATTCCATATTTTTGATGATTTCCTTGAACAAGTCTGGCTTTGAGTCTTTCCAATGATCCATCAGAATTTAACTTGACTTTATACACCCATTTTGAGCCAATGGCCTTTTTATTAGGTGGTAAGTCACAGAATTCCCATGTGCCATTCTTTTCAAGTGCATTAAGCTCTTTGTTCATAGCAGTAACCCATTCGGGATTTTGGACAGCTTGGTGATAGGACACAGGTTCAATGTGTGAAGAGATATGAGCAAGAAAGGCTTGGTTTTCTATGGGAAGAGCATCAAATGAAACTAGATTGCAATGATGTGGTGTTTTGGTTAGGTGGGCATGTGAATATGTGATGTAGGCTGAAGAGGACACATATATAATCTTTCAAGTATGATGGTGGTTTGTGTGTCCTTGAAGATTTTCTAGTTGGTTGATGTGTATTTTCTTCAGTTTGATGATGTGTTGGTGGAGTTGATGTTTGGATTGATGTGTCAGACACAGAAATATCATGGTATGTGGGAGGTGTGAATTGAGAAGAATGTGTGGAAGTTGAATGATTATGGTAAAATAAAGTGGAAATGTTAGAAGTGATTGTGGGAAGATAAGATTCAGATGGAGGTTGGTTTAAATGATGAAATGAGAAGATGTGTTCATGGAATTTTACATTCCTGGTAGTATAAACAGTGTGATTTTGCAAATCAAGAACTTTGTATCCTTTTTTATTATGAGGATATCCTAGGAAAACACATGGATGACTTCTTTCTTCAAATTTCTTTCTGGAAATCTTAGGTGTGGCAACAAAACATAGACAACCAAAGACTTTTAAATTGTCATATGCAGGTTTGTGGGAATAGAGAAGTTCATATGGTGAAAGATTGTTTAGAACAACAAGGGGTATTCTGTTTATAATATATGTGGCATGAAGAAGACATTCACCCCAGTATTTTATTGGAAGTTTAGACTGAAAGTATAGTGCTCTAGCAATCTCAAGAAGATGTTTGTGTTTTCTTTCTACCCTCCCATTTTGTTGAGGGGTATTGACAAGACTAGTTTGGTGTATAATCCCTTTTTAAGAATAGAAATTAAGGGCATTATTATCTTTAAATTCAATACCATTGTCAGATCTTATGATTTTGACAGTGGTTTTGAATTGATTTTCAATGAAAGTAACAAAACTCTGGAGAAAGGAGTCCAAGTAGCTCTAGAATAATCATCAACTAGGGTAATGAAAAATATGTTACTATTATGAGTACTATTTGCATATGGACCCCACAGATCAACATGAAGAAGTTCAAAAGAAGTGGAAGCTTTATTATCACTATTACAAAAGGAATCATAGTGTTGTCTTGCCTTTGGACATATATTACAAATACATTCAGAAGCTGACTGATATGATACCGAATCTAAATGTATATGTTTCATTATAGAATAAGGCATATGTCCTAATCTATAATGCCAAAGTTGTAGATAGTCACTTGAAGACAAATGAGCTTGAGTTGTACTGGAAGAGATGAAACTATTGGTGAGGAGATTTGTTGATCTTGTATGCGAAGCAACATAGTACAGACCACCATGTTCTCT